CTATGGGTCGGAACCGACTCGACGGCACTTAGCAACAACAACAATGATTGTTACAGGGCTTGGGGTAGGAGTTGAAAGGGCAAATTATTCATGGACTAGAGGGCAGACCACGTTAACATGGGTGACAGGACAGGCAATATACAACAAGAGGGAGTTAGTAGAGGAAAGATGAAGGTAGTGGGAGACATACAGAGGAATGCAATGGTTAAGGTGAATACAGGTAAATGTTAACTGTTGGTACATGGAGGAGATGGCAACCATGTAATGAAGCCAAGTGTATGATTTGTTAAATGTAAAACTGATGATCTGCTCTGTAAACCTTCACTCAGTTCACAATAAAATAAAGATAGAAAGATAGAGGGATAAGGGCCTTCCAGCTGTCTGGACCAGGGAAGTTACAGTAAAGAGAAAAGGTAGCTAGGCTATCGCTACGGATAAGAAATGGCATGAGATGTCTCTCTGATTGACCACACTAGATACTACACAAAAAGGAGGCCATGTCTTCAAAATTCTAAAAGAAAATTAATGTGAACCTAAGATTTAATACCTAGCCAATCTAGCAAGGATGTATTCTGGCAAAGCAAAAGAAAAGAAAGCTGTAAGAAATGGAAGAGTCCAGTAAAATGTATAGATATTATATATATGTATCTATATAAAATGTACAGATAGCAATATGTATATGTATATTATTTTGCTTTGCTAGAATACATCCTTGCTAGATTGGCTAGGTATTGAATCTTAGTTACATTAATTACATAGCATACATTTTAATAGTAAACCATCATCTGGAACTAGAATAGCAAGCTAGGCAGTGTAAATTAATGGAAAAAGCAGACTGCCTAGATCCCAACTCAAGCACTCAAGTCTACTTATAAGCCTCAGTTCAATTATCTATAAAATGGGGATGATCTTAGTACAGATCTCAAAGGATAGTTGTGAGGATGGGAAGAGGTATCAGTATAAAGTACACAGCACAAGGTATATGATGTAATAAATGGTCAACGTGGAATACAGAAGAGGGAGAGAAGGGGTAAGTGAAATAATAACTCTAGACCTAATAGAGAGGAAAAAAACTACGACTATATATGTGGAGATTACAAAAAAATTGTAGAAAATTTTCATTCTTTTCATTGCACTTTGCCACAAACTTGGTGAAGCATGCTAGCCTAGTATGTTCAAGGACTCTTGGTGTGATGCTGCAGGGTAAGTACTGGATTGCTAACCGTAAGGTGAGCAGTTGGAACCCAGAAGTTGCTCCTTGGACACTCTACAGAACCCGCTCAATGGCACTTAACAACAGTAACAAGTGGTAAGGGTTACCACTAAAAAAAACAAACTGAGAGATTCCAAACCAACAGTGGGGCACTAAGAGATGACTTTATGTGGTACAGACATGAAGTCAGTTGTTCTGGGTGTTAGATGCCTATTCACTACTACTTCTATCATCCCCTTATCACCTTTCTAGCTCTTGCCAACCCCTCTTTTTTTTTTTTTTTTTTCAAACAACAAGCTCTGGCCAGATAAGAGGATCTGCTTAAAGTGTAGTAACATTCTTTGGTATTTATTATGCCTCTATTTATATTAATTTGTATTTATGGCAGAGGATACTAATTTTCATTTTATGAATAAGATAAAATCTTCATTTAAAATAAATTGATTTAGTTATTTAGGTGATTGTGTAACAACAGTAAGTAATAAGCACAGGTGCTATATGATTTTTTTAATTATGAAAGTGGTATACTGATGACCAGAGTTTGCATTATTGTTGTTAAGTGTTATCCAGTCATTTCCTATAATGCCCCAATATCACTATTACTATTTGATATTACAGTTGATATTCTAACTTTCCAATAAGTCAAGAAATGGAAATATTATGTAGTGAAAAGGAAAATAAATTACTCTAATTGTAGTCAATATGATTTTCCACCTAGAAAATCTAAATAAACAAACTGAAAAACATTTGAATTCATATTAGAGGACATACAGAATCTAGGTCAATATATAAAAATGAAGAGCCTTCAGATAACCATGCACTAAAAGATATGGCTAAGAATGTTTACGACAAAATCATTACAGTGGTAGACATTTGGGTACAGCCTGAATGTCCAATGATAGAAGGATGTGCTATATCCTCACTATAGTATGTGTAACAGTTGTACTAATAAATATAATCTTAAAAACAAAGTAAATTTCAAAACAACAACAACACACACACTTAGTAGAATCTGGAACAATATATATAGTATAAGCCTATTTATGTAAAAAACAAATAATAACAAACATGTATTTTTGAGCTACATATGTTTATGTTTATTGGATGGTATCACAGTGACAGAATACAACTGCCTCCTATGGTTTTCCTAGCTGTAATCTTTCCAGCAAGTCCTGCTGTGGCCCTAGACTGAAAGGTCGGTTTGAACCAC